GATGATCTTTTGAGGTCCCTTCCAACCCCTGACATTCTGTGATTCGGTGAGCTCTGTCAGTAAGTTCAGTCCTGAAGGAGATTTTTCTGGGAAGGCTGCAGGAAGGCAGCCTGCACTGTCTGAGCTCTGGTGAGTGTGCTGCTCCGCTCCGCTTCGATCTCAGGGTGAGCAACACGAGCAGCCCTTCCTCGGGCAGGAGGTGTGACGAGTGGTCGCTGCACAGCGTTCTTCAGAGCAGTAACTTCTTCTCTGAAGTACCTGTTAGTCTTTTTGTGTGAAGCTCTTGAGTAGTTAGTGCTGCTGATGTGACAGAGGGGCATTAGTGCGTGGGAGTCAAAGTTTCAGGGCCAGGATATATTTTGTCAGACAGATTTTGATATTTGTAATGTGGCCTTAGCCCGTGGGAATACAGCTTTCTGTCCTTTTGTCTGGAAGAGGCCTCCTGAGCAGTCTTTTGCACACCTTGGCTGAGTTTGCAAATTTACTTTCCCACTTCTGTGGTCCCTGAACTAACTTTCTAGTTCTGGGAGCAGCAGTGTCAGGGGAAACGCTGCTTTGGCAGCCTCAGAATCCAGGAAAGCTGTGCTATAGGCTGCTTTTGTTAGTAGCAGCTCTGTCTTTCTAACTTGGAAGGAATTTATTCTGCTGGACTAAATCTGTGGTTTCCGTTTTGGCCATTGTGTGTGGCGGTGCCGGGGCTGTGCCGCAGTCTCCTGTTTACTCGTCGCATTCACAGGAAGCGGGCGATGATGAGCAAAAGTTAAAGTCTGGGCAAAATTCCTAGTTTAGGTAGTGGTTCTTCTTGCAGGCACAAATCTGGTGTCTCCAAATATCTTTTCATCCTAGTTATATAATAATTGCCTTTGAGCAACAGATGCCTCAGTGATGGGATTTCATGTTCTAGAAGTGGGAGAGCTGCAACACGCAGCGTGGTTCTCGTTAACCCCTTTTCTCAGCGAAGTGGAGCCCCTATCGTTCTCTTGAGTGTCACAGCTTTGCTTCTCGTTGAACCCTCTTCCCTGTAAGGTCTGACAGCTTCCACGTGCTGCTGTGCCAGCTTTATGGGAACTGCAGGCCAGGAAAGGAAAAAAAGATAAAAATCACTATTGAGCTATCCCTAAAGCGAGCCCTTGCTCTTCTCCCAAGAGACTCAATCTGTTTTGTCTTCTGCCAGGAGAGATTTTTGAACTGAAGGCTGAACTCAATAATGAGAAGAAAGAGAAGAGGAAAGAAGCCGTAAAGAAGGTTATTGCAGCCATGACTGTGGGCAAGGATGTCAGGTAAAAGCAACTTTTGTCGCACCTGTAGCAGCTCTGCCTGTCCCAGGAGCCGCTCGGAGGTGGCGGCACGCATCACCGTGAACCAGCTCGGACTTTGTCACCTTGATGTGGCTGGGTGGTGAGGCTGGCTGGGTCCTTGCCCGTGCTGTGCTCGAGTCACAGGTTTCTCAACCTCCTTCCTATTACTCAGAACAAAAGAAACAACTGTTTTCAGTGCTGGATTACCCCTTTTTATTTGAAAACCCATCCAGAATTCAGCGATTTTGTAGGTCACTTCAAATGATGTTTTCTCACTTCTGGCTATTCTGGGTTTTAGTGTTAGAAAGGTAATTCCGAGGGTTTTCTTAGCCTTGTTCCTCACAGTATAAATGGAAACTACATTTTAAAATGACTGATTTTTAAATTGAACCTTTGCCTCATAGCACCTAAAGGCTGCAGGCATTTACCTTCTGCAGCGCTGCCACCAGTGCTTTTTTCTGTCTTTGAGGCAACCAGAAAAACTTGCTGGAGAGAATGCTTCCTCCCTTCCAGCTTCTTCTGTTCCTGGAGTCTGCCATGTGGCAGTCCTGGATTTGTGGCACTCTGGTCTGTTGCCACGGAAATTTGTATAAGGTTGCAAATTTAGCATCATGACTTCATCGTAGAATGAAGAAACACCTAAACAGGAGGGAAGAAAAAAAATAATCTTTTTGGCCAGTGACACTTGCCTTTCACCTTTCGATCTCTCCAGCACACCTGAGAGCTGCAGATATCCTTCGGTAATTTCCTGTGTTCTGCAGCTCTTTAGAGATTGCTGCCTGATATTTGAGCGAAACTCAGCTTGTCAGCATTGAAGCTCCTAATTAATTGCTCTGGAGTTTACTAGTCTGGAATTTGGCAGGTTCTTTGTAAGTGTCCTACATTACCAAAACATTTTTAAACAAATTTTCTTTTTTTTAAAACTGGTGGATTCATTTGCAGACCTGGCATGGCAGAATTTTCTTGTTTGGTGAACTCCCCAGCTAGAACACCTTTAGGAAATTACATTAGTTTTAGCCTGTTTCATAACCGACCTGTGTTAAATCCCTAGAAGAGATTAAATGATTATTATAAAAGCCATTGCGAACTGTTTTGGGGTGGCAGTTGACCTTTCGTTAGACAGCGGGGTACTTAAATTGAAACTGCAGTTCTCCTGGCTTCTGTGAGGTTGCTCCTATCCCCTTTATATGCCATCCAATCTCACAGCTTTTTCTCCGTTCTCCTTTCTTGCCTGTCCAGCTCACTCTTGCCTGATGTCGTGAACTGCATGCAGACCGACAACCTGGAGTTGAAGAAGCTGGTCTACCTGTACCTGATGAACTACGCCAAAAGTCAGCCAGATATGGCCATCATGGCTGTCAACAGCTTTGTGAAGGTAACCTGCTCCCACGGCCCAGCCGGAAAGGGGCTGGCATGGTGGCCTTCGGAGCATCTCCTTTGTCCTTTTGCCTGTGTGAGCTGTTGTTTCTCTCTGCATTTGCTTTCGCTCACTCGCTACTGATAATTATTGCAGAGGGCCCACGCAAGTAGTTATGAGAAAATCAGCCCCAGGGGAAGCTGCTGCTGCTGTTTCACTAACCATCATTAGAGAGTTCCAGTATTGGATAATGAATTTTGTGTTGTGCCATCCTCCAGCCTTTGTAGTGTCTCTGATACAGGGGTGTTCCCCTCTTGTTTGAATGTTTCGGCTGTGCCTTGTGTGGAAAACCTTTATCTCTGGTGAAACTGGAAGACAGTCCACTGGAAAAATAACAGCCTGATTGCTGTATTGCCTTTAATTCTGTTGCCAAGGTGCCTCTCCTTATCTAGGAAATGTTATTTCAGTCCCACGTTATGTAAGTTAAAACCTGGTGCTCGGAAAAAGTCTGAGACTCCTCCTGGAGTTTTAGAAAATATGAGGCACTGGGGAATCTGATTATGTTTTAAGTTTTTATTGCGGTGCCTGAGGCTGAAGGAGGTGACAGGGCCTGGATTGAGAGTAGGTGTGCTCTTCTGGCCAGAGAAGATGTCCCTGTCTTCCTCTCTGGAAAGAATGTTGTTTTCTGTCACCTTTAAATTCTAACTCTGTTGAAACAGACTAACAAACAAACATGATATTTTTCCAGCTTCATGCTTTTCTACCCAAGGAAGTATCTGATGTCCCTTTTGGCAAGTGTTTGGGACAAGTGTTAGTACAGAGAAAGTGGTGACACCAGTCTGCACCAGCTCAGCACCTCCCACGCGGTTCACAGTTCAGGGTGCTGACCGCCCTGGTAGGACATTGTCACTTCTCCTGGGCGCTTCCCAGTTGATGCGTTCAGGTGTTTTGTCAGCTGTAGGAAGTGAAAACAGTGAGAGGTAAATGTACCTCATGCTTTTGTAGGTCGCCCTGCAGCCACCCTTTTGTAGGCTAGTTTTGGAGGGGAGTTGCTCAGCGATGTAGTTAGATTGGATGTATGGCAAAGTACGTGGTCTTGAAGTATGAAGTGTTATATTCCCTTCTGCTTTTTCTTTTTCCTCCTCAGAAAAGCAGCTCTAGCCGAGCCTTTGCTTAGTGCTTCATATCTTGCAAACTTGAGGGATCCTTGTGTCTAGAGTGGATGGCCTGGGAGAAGCAGGCCCTGATGACCGATTGCGTTGTGTTTAGTTGTTGATTTTTCCTGTTATATTCTCCTGCTCCTTTAAACCAGTAAGGCTGGAAACCAGTGTATTGCCTTGCATGAAAGTTGCTTGTGGTGAGAGCTGTCTCAAGCTTAGCTGCAGCTGCTAAATCCTCTTGAAGGAAGCTTTGCATGAGAGAACCAGTGGACTCAGAGATGGACTCAGTTTTACAAGCTCGTAGCGTGGAACCATCTTGAGGTGGTGCCGAATGTTTCTTTGAAGCAGCAAATCCCACCTTTTATCCCCGATCTGAAATAACTGCCTCTTTGTAGCGTGTAATCAGGAGAATGCGGTTGGTTTGAAATAAAACCAGCCTGATTCTGGCTGCAGGCAAGCGGTACAGATTTGTTTGCTGCATCTTCTTTCCTGTTGCAGGACTGTGAAGACCCAAACCCTCTGATCCGTGCTCTGGCCGTCCGTACAATGGGATGCATCAGGGTGGACAAGATCACGGAGTATTTGTGTGAGCCTCTTCGCAAGTGTCTGAAGGATGAAGACCCTTACGTGCGAAAGACTGCCGCTGTCTGTGTGGCGAAGCTGCACGACATCAATGCCCAGATGGTGGAGGACCAAGGATTTCTGGATTCTCTGCGTGACCTGATTGCAGACTCCAATCCCATGGTAACGTATATGTCCTTGCAGCACGTTGCTTGGGTTTGTAATGGGCAGATGATCAGAAACATGAAGGCTTAATTGCAACCGATGCGCCGTGATGAATACGTTGGTTAGAGAACACTTGTTGCCTCGGAAAACAGGAAAACTCTTCTCAGATCTTTCCTGCTTTTGCCTCTTTTGCGTGTCTGGAGTGCTGCAGCAGAAGTTTAACTTCCTGGTGAGATGAGTCAGAAGAGCCCGAAATACTCGATGCTGCTACCTTGGTGACAGCTTGTAGCTGTTGCTTTCCTGCAGGCTTTGGCTCTTCTTGAAGTAAGAGGTTGGCTCAATTCGTTCACTGATACAGATAAATCCACTCGCCTGTAATGAGTGGAGAAAATCAATGCTTGTGTCTTTATTAGGGTTAAATGAGTCATCAGAGCGGAGGTGGAGATCAAGACCAAGAATTTCACGGGAGTAAATTACATACTAAATCGGTATTTGATCACAGTTTGATGAAGGTTGCGTTTCCACACCAGGCATCTTCCACTGTGGCCGACGGACCGAAGTGCTCCTCTGCCTAATCCTTTCATTCAATTATTTTTTCCTGTGGTCTACTGCAAACCTAACAGGGAAAAAAAAACTTCTGCAGCTCAGTTTAACTCAGTTTAAGGATGTGACTGCTACTTTTTTAGCTCTTGTAGAGCACAGCTCTCGTTTGATCCTTCTTAAAGACATACTTTAGCATTAGGGCAGGTCTAACAGCTCGTTCTGTGGCGTCTGGATCAAGCCATATAAAGCAAATCACTGTCCTGTTACAGCTGTCTTTGGGCAAGTCTGGATGAATCGAGGGGTGGTGATAAGGCACCACCCATTTAGTAGGAGAGGGAAGGCTGCTGATTGCTTTTCTAGAGACAGCAGCGCTGCAGCGTCTGCCTTTGCCAGGCACAAGTCTGCGCGGCAGCGCCTGTTGCCCCTGAGAGCTGGGCCCTTTTACGAGCAGTTTCCTTTGTCTTCCCTGATTTTCTCTTTTAACGGCAGGTTTCTGCACGAATATTGACAACTACTTGAAGAGGTCCCTGTCTAGGCAATTTCAAGGTGTATAGGAGAACACCTACTTATTTAACTTAATATTGAGGGTGTGTCGTGTGGGCTCTGAAAGTCCTTGGTTGGGCTCCTTTAGCTCCACTTACCTGCTGGCCCCTGGCATTCCCTGGCTCAGGCAGCTGCAGCAGCAGCGTGTGCTGTGCCCAGGGGTGTAACCTCCTGCTCTCTTAGCCTTGGGTCCAACTCTTTAATTTTCTTCTGCTGATTATAGCCACGGGGATGTGAGTCGAGGAGCTCAGGCTGAAAGATGTGGTACTTCAGGAGAAATTAATAAGGTTTTGCTTGCCCTTTCTGCTAGGGGATCTCTATGGGACTAACTGTTTTGGTAAATGAGCCGTTGGTTATGGGAGCACCGATACCGGTTTCAAAAGTCCATTAACTTAATATTGACTTAAATGATTGGAGATGAGAAATACCGAAGGGCAGCATACGCTCCATTTGCTAAATAAACCTCCCAAAGTAGTGTAGGCCTTCCTAATAAAACATCAGTAGAGCTGATGAGTTCCTTGGTGGTAACGAGGATGGGCTGGCACGGTGAAACCTTTGCCTGCAGCTCCCAGAGCTGCGTGGGATCCCGGCCCCTGCCCCACGCTGTGCTCGCCTGCTCTTCCCCAAGCTGAGGAGTCAAGGCAGGAGAATGCGATTTGGGGGGGCGATAGTCACGAAGAGGAGAGGCCTGTGGTGTGTTTTCAGATGTGCAGGCCCCGAGAGGATCGTGTTGCTGGTGTTCAGTGTTCTCATCTCCCAGCTTTTACCACAGGGCGTTATGTTCTTGCTTCTTAAGGGCGTACAGGGAGAGATTTTTAGCAGGTTTGGGGCTCTTACAGCTGCTGATTTAATACAATATTTAATCTGGTTACAATTTTTTAGTGGATACGGACATTCCTTCTAGTTAAGTTTATTGCTTTGATCCCCTTTGAAATTCGTGCCTTTGTGGCACAGCGGTTCCCTCAAAAGTACAGAAGCCATCCGGCTCTGATTAAGGTTCATTTTCCTAGTGAACCCATCCAGCTCATTGCTCTTTTCTCCATGTGAAACTCTAGCGAGGATTCATGCTGACCAGGGGTTGTCTTTGCCAGGCACCTTATTAAATACCAACTTGCACACAAATACAAGTTAATTCTCTGTGGCCAGGCAGAGTGCAGCCCTGCCTGGAAGCTCTTAAGTGAAAAAATGTGTTGGTATTGGGTATCAAAAGGAAGATGACTGAAAAGAATGGTACAGATGGATCTGTCCTTACGGCCTCTTCCTCTGGAAATGGTGCATCTTGATCACTGCAACCTGTTGTCTAAACTCATTTGTATTTGTATTATAAGTTTCTTCTCTTTTAATGATGCGGAAACAGGCAACATTAGACACTTAATGAAGCAGAGTTTTGTAGATGGGAAAATCCACACTTGCATTCTCTTCTGAGAAATGAGGATTTTGAGCAGGAAACTGAAAAATTTGTGTTGAAAAAACAGTCTCTGAGAAGGATTTGATTATGGTTTTGTAATTGGCTGCCTCTAGCACATGAGCAAGCACTAAACATTCGAGCTGGGTGCTGGGTAGAGTAACGACTCCATCTGTGGCGAGCTGATTGTCTCGTCGTTGTGCAGAGAGCAGGGGGCATGTTTTTACCAGCTCCAATCACCCTCCTCATAGCAATGCCTGACTAAGCTGGAGCTGACCTTGTCGGAAATGTTTTGAGTTTGTTTTGGCTTCTTTTTTTCCTTCATAGTTTTGGACTAATGGTTTGTTATCACACAATTGTGTGAACGGAGATTGGGGCTGTTCAGGGCATTGCTTTGAAGTCCTGCTGAGGTGCTCTGGGTGCCCAGCCAAGTGCTTTCCCCCTTTATCTGGGCTTTTTGCTGTCAGGATCTGGCCTCGGTTCAAATACAGTCATAGGATGATCTTTTGACCGGGCGTAGGATTGCACCCTTCCAGGTGAGCCGATGGTGGTTGTGATTAGAGGACCGACACCCGAGTCTGGGTGTTCACTAGCTGCTTCTGAAAAATCTCCATGGTAATTTTACAGTTTCTCCGGGATGGATTAATTCAAGTTTCTAATTGCCTGCGCATTGATATGGATCTGTACTAATACGTATGAATTGCCAGGTCAGGTTCTATAAACATCTTGAAGAATTAACACAACTCTGGGGTAGTCTTGTGTTTCAGCAAGCGACCCTGGGAAACTCCTTTCAGCACTTCTCTGTTACAAAATACTGTCCAACAGTGCTTTTCTTCAGTCTGTGATTCGTGGAGTCCTGTGAGGCCATGAACTGAGAGCCCTTTATAAAGTGACTACCAAAGGCCAACCTTTTCTCAGTAGGCTTAATTCTGGGGTACTTCTCTTCATGCAAATCCGTAAGGTCCAACATGCAAATCAAAATGGGTAGAAAACCAGTGGAGCCTATGACATTACTTTCCTGTCTTGCACAGGACATAGTGACTGAGCAAAAAGTCTTTCTCAGAACCGCAAGATGAAGGGGTATGTCGAGGTGAAGAAGGATGCTTCTCCCAGGTGAACTCATCCTGAGTTCAAGAGGAAATGGCCTCAAGTTGCTCCAAGGGAAGTTTAGATTGGATATTAGGAAGAGTTTCTTTGCTGAAAAGGGTTATCAGGCATTGGAAAGGGTTGCCCAAGGCAGTGGTGGAATCCCAGTCCCTAGAGGTGTTTAAGAGTCAGGTGGACGTAGTGCTGAGGGGTATGGTTAAGTTGAGAACTACCTCAGTGTTAGGTTAATGATTGCACTTGTGATCTTAAAGGTCTTTTCCAGTCTAGACAGTTCTGTGGTTCTGCAGATACGTATGACAAGTTACCAGCTGGGTTGGTGGCTTAGTGCTCTGCAGCTGAGGTCCCCAAGATGCCGTACCTTGTGCAGTGACGGGGCCGTAACACCGGCAAGGGCGTGGATCAGTTCCTGGCTGGTTGCGCTGCAGGAGTCTGATTGTGGACAGAGTCTTTAATTGTATTTTACAACTGGGCCTAAAGTGCTCGTGGCTGCCCTTTGTCACTTGGGATCCTGCCGAAGAGTTTCCCTCCATCAAGGGAACCCTCATTTCATACTAGAGCTGTCTTTAAGGCAAACCTTCTCTTTCGTGCTGCATGAAGCTGAGCAGAACCGGCTCTGGATGAATAGAAAGCCAAGGGCTGGGCTGCGTTGGGCTGTCCCGTGCTGCTGGGCTGACTCGGTCCTCGGGGCCCTTCTTGCTGGCGACTGTGGTACAGTGCGACTCCAAAAGCGTGTCCTCCCATAGCGCTCACGTTCAAGGAAAGTGTGATTTCAGTGTGACGCCCCAGGACTCTTGTGCACACACCAAGGGCTTGTACACAAACGCAGAACTCCTCTCGCACCAGGCAGCCCCAGGAGGTAACAGCGAGGTGAAGGAGGTTGGGCTGTTACACACCTGCTGATGGCCAGAGGATCTCTGAGGTCTTGGGCAAACTTGTTTTTTTTTTTAAATTCTTTTTCCTGATGCTGCCTTGTTTTGATATCTGAGAGTGAGACCTAGTGGCTGACTGCCCGTCCTTGCAGCGCTGCAAGTGCTGAGCCCTGGTGAGGAAGAGCAAGGCCAGGAGATGGCAGCAGCTGAAAGCAGAACCAAGGCTGTTGCTGCTTAGGCTCCTTGTTTTGTAACTAGTTCCCTCCTGGCTTTTGTCACTGCACTTGATTTTTTTTTTCAGGAATATAAATATCAACAGAAAAATGTAAGAGGAAATTCATCCTAAGCCTTATTGGAACAACCTTTCTGACCAAATATTTTTCATCCTTGACCTTCTGGGGTAACTTTTAACCCACGGAAGAGTTTTCTTGTCAATCTACCTGTTTTCCACATGGCTGAAGTTAGATGGGTATCACCTTCTCCCAGTTCTTGTCTCGGTGCTGTTGGGTTCTTAATTCCTTCTTGTAGCATTTCTTCTTCCTCGTATTCTG